CGACAGGGGAGAGGAGAAAAGAAAAGTGTAAAATCCATCACTTCACTATTTTCAGATCCTGCTCCATGGTTTTTAGTGCTGTATCACTGTATGAGGCTGGCTGTGGCCCCACCCTCTCATCTCAGCCTAGGTTAAGGGGCCATAGGCAGCATCCCACATCCTGATTCAATTCATAAATTATAATATTTTCCTTTCCACAGTCAGATTTCTCCACTGGTGGGTGCAGGAAACTGACACCCTGTACCTTACACTAGATTCAAACTCTGGAACTGCTCTAGGAAAGCACCTTCTCTGGCTTTTCTGTGCTTCCACTGAGGAGCCTCTCCTACCTGACTCTGCTTCTCGTGCCCCAAAACCCTATTTTAATTTCAATTTAATTAAATATTTTATTTAACTTATGTGGATCATTCTGACATTTTCAATGATACTTTTAAGGTGTAAATGGTGATGGGCGCATATGAGGAAAATTTGCTATATCATAGTTACTAATTTTAAAATAAAACATACTTCAGTTTATTTCATTTGATAAAGTCTTATCATTTCCTAATATTATAGTGAAAAATGATGTAATAAAGAACTTTACAGAGTAATCTGATACAATTTGATGAACTTGACCTACACCTATGGATGCAGTAGCTCAAAAGAGGGAACAAATCTTACAGCGAGGATCATTCCCACTCCCTCCATACACAGAGTAGACAGGGATGGGCAACTTGGACATTGGCTGCCCAAAATGAGGTAGGGGGGGAGGCTACAAAAGCAAGAAGTGACCCGTTTACAAGCTTTCAAGAGGAGCCTACATTCAGAGAGCGTGGAGGAAGGTAGAATCTCCATTGAGTAGTATCCAATCTGTCTGGGCGGGGCTGATGAAAGGAGATGAGGATAGGTCTCTTGTGATACAATAGTGAATAATTATTATCAGGACTGATTGTTAGGGTTGGAAATGTAAAGGTAGACATTTTGTAGCAAAAGGAGGGGAGTGATTGACTTTGCAGTCTAGGAGCAGAGGTCCCTGGGACCATCAAGGGTGAAGAGCAGAGAGTGGGACCCTAACCAGAGGAACAGTGACACCAGAGATGGAGGCAGATACGATGACTTGGAGAGATGGAGTGTCTGGGGACTTTAGACCTAGAGAGAGAGGGGGGCTGTGTGCTGATGACCAGTGGACAGGCTTGCAGGGTATACCCTTGAGTGGATTGATAATTCATGGAAGGGATTGCAATCATGACAATGAAACGACATACGATAGTATGAATGTAAAGCTAATGTTTTCCCATGTAAACTGTCACATAATTCACAATAAAACATTAAAAAAAAGTATTGCCATCACTATTTTTTCATTAGATTCTGACAATAATACATAATAGTAAGATGAAATATACGTATCTTCAAAGATTTGGAAAAATATAACAAAAATACCTCTGTTCAGGATCAAATCCAAATGAGTACAGTCTATTCTTCTCAACACAAAAGAAAATCTCCAATGACTAATACTACGTAGTGATATTCTGGGAGTATGGTTTCTCATTCCTCCTGGACATGAGACAGGTACCAATAAATAGAAAATGGGTGAATTGAATTGCCATCAGCATAATCTTCTCCTAGGCAGATTTTTACACCAACAGACTGGATTGCAATAACAGAAACAGAGCGTTGGCATTGAAATATAATCAACCTACTAATAGAAAGAGAGATTGGGCACAAGCGCCTGTTGATATTGGTATATTTTCCATTTACATTAATCTGGAGTATATAAAATATAGATTTATTAAGATTTGTCTCCTATAAATGTGCCCTCACAGCTCTTTTCTGATAATCAGAATCTTAATTTGAAATTCAGTAGTGCTTAACAGGCAACTGTGGAAACAGCAGCTGATTACATTTAGGTGGCTTAAAGTCCTCTGCAAATTGTGTGGCATGTGCCTTAGAGATCAATTCAGTTCCATTTTAAACCAAGCATATGTCGAGTAAATGAGGCAGGGCTACTGGAGACTTCATAAAAAGCAGATGGGGAAATTAAATTCTTAGCAATATTTTTTTTCCCTTCTCTCAACATTGGTATACATCTATCAAAAATAAAATTTTAGAGGCCACAGAGAATTAAACCATTGAATTAAAGACTTTTAAATGAAATCACACTACAATATATTGCAACAAACTAGAATCCAATTTGTGTATGTAAGGAGCATTTTGAAAGAGGTTATTTCCAATGCTCCTCAGAGTTAAAAATTTCTATTCAGTTTAGCAACAATAGGTAGTTTTACTCCATCAGCATTCCTACATCCAGTGCAACCAGTTTACAAAAACAAGTTAATTTTTCTGGATCCATAGGGTATAGCTCCCTACCCTAGTTTTGTCTAGAGTACAGAAATGAGTCATTATTTTCAGATATTTCAGATACATGTTTTCATTCAGATATTTAACCGTTTCATTCAACGAATGTGCACTTTCCCAATTAAGTATAGTCTAACTATACTTATCAATAAAGTTAACTTTAATGGAATTATTGACATTAAGAATTCATTTTTATATAATGATTTTTAACAAACCATGAAACAAAGTTATATGACAATTTAAGAATAACTATTAGAGACTAATATTCCATAATTAAATTAAGATTCTGATTATAGGTATGCAATTAATACTGTCAACTTTTAAAAATTAATAAATTAATATTTGATTTAAGATGAAATATTTAAACAGAAAAAATATATATAGCTAGTTTTAAAGCTCTGGTTTCTAAGATAAAAGTACTACTACTAGAAAGATAAAATATACCAGTTAAAATATTATTGCTTGCCTGTAGAATATGTAGTTATCTTTGCCCATTTATCAGTGTACTAATCCGGATAATAAGCACTGTACTTCCAGCTGCAAGGTCAGTGGTTCAAGTCCACAAGACTCTCCAAGGGAGACAGATGAGGTTTTCTGCTTCTACAAAGATTTACAGATGTCCTATAGAGTTCCTATGAATCAAAATCCACTCAACAGAACCAGGTTCAAGATTTTATTCTATTAACAGGAATATTTACTTTTTAAACATACCATTAATTTAACATGAAGTAATTTATTTCACAAGGCAAGCATCTATTGGCTTCTTATTTTGTGCCAGTCATGGGCATCCAAAGATAAAGAAACATGATATTGTGGAAATTTTACCTATAGTATTTAATATTATGCTTAATGTATGACTGGAGTCAATGAGACTGCCTGCTGAAAAACCTTCCTTTTCTCCATTTACCTTTATTTCAAATTTCTCTTCTGGTCCCTGGATGTTTCAGACAAATTTATTTTCTTTTCTTATTATTTCAAGTATTCAAATATGTAATTTTGTAACTAAGACTCACATTTGGATATTAAAACATATAGCACATCAACACAACTTTAATATCATCTCATTTAAAGCTGTTTTTATTCCCCATCTCAGGCACAAACCTTTGTCTCATAATCGGTTCAAGGGGAGAGGAGGAAATATTATCTGTGACTCATTTTCTAATTTCTTTCCCATCGTCTTTTCATATTCCCGGTGTTGATGTAGAAAAAGACTGTAAAAATCTGTCATCGCAGCCATGTTCTTTGAGCTAACACTAGCCCCTAGGCAAATACTCGCTCTTTTAAATTGGGTTTTGCCTGAACTTCTTTTTATGGAATGAAATGGAATTAAATTAGAAAAAGAAACAGAGTAAATTAAACAGGGTAAAGTTAAATTTAGTTTCACATACAGAGAAACACACACAAATGTGTATATCCTAGAGTTGTGGTTTAAAATCTATTTCTTACTATGGTCACAGTTGGAAAAATTATGAAAATCCCTAGACTAATGCCTTGGAAACAATAGTCCTTGTGATTTTGCAGTGTAATAAATTTTCAGTTAGAAGTGAGATACTACTAGCTATTCTTCTTCTAGGCAACCATATGAACTAGTTATCTTAGGAATGAGACATTTAACTTCTCCTTATCTAACTATCTCTAGATAACTATCAGGAAATCCAAATCCCATATGGCCCTGAATAGAGTGTCCTCTTAAACCATCATCAGAAAACAGCTGGACACAATTCTCTAAGACCAGTTAGTTCTAGGAAACAACAGCCCCCATTCCTTTTAAACAATATTCCAAATAAATCTACTTTAGTACAACTTGTTTTTTTAGAAACAGCTACCAATAGCTTCTGTATCAACCCACCTCCTTTCTTGTATGTTTTTTCTTTTCTTTTTTTTCATATATGAATTACATACTCATGACTCCAACCCTGCTTTAGTTGTTTTGAATTCTAGCCATAACTTTTTCCAAGTTAATACTATTGCAGGATTTCCATTTCTTTGTGGTTACCGGGTCGTTTTATATATGATAGGTCCATGTAAGAAACAGGCAAATTTAAATAAAATGCACAGTGCACATAGGAAACTAATATGAAAGGGAGTTTCATAGTTTGAAGAAACATATGATGCATGCCTTATTTTTGTGCAATGATAGCACTCTTTCCCACCTGGTCAAGTTTTCATTGAAATGACCATTTTCAACCTGGTCTGATTCTATTTTAACAAACGCAAGTTTTAATTTCCTTTATAGTAACAGTTTGACAGTGTCATTTGAACGGTGAGACCAGAAGACCTCTCCTGAACTATGCTTCTGTTACATTCCAACTATTATTGCTTAGGTGGTATGTTTATTTGGGTTTGTTGAAGGGGTACTTTCAGAGATTTTGTTGTGAGGATTGTCTCAAGCCTCTCAGAAATCCCTTGGAACTGACCTAGGTCTTGCTGCAAAGGTAGTACCTGAAATTTTTTATACAACATCCTCAAGTGGTGATTCTAATTTTGATGTTATTTCTGAGACATTCTGAGTAACTAAATATACCAGGTTGTTCAAAATGAAAGCTAGCTCCACTATGCACTGTGGCAATAGACAGGTAGTAAAAAAGGTAGAAAGGGGAGGAGTAGTCCAAAATATTCTATTTATAATGTCATTATCCTATACAATAAATATTTTTCCTCCACAGATCCTTGCAAGGAAGACAATTTTCAATGTGAAACTGGAGAGTGTATTCCACTGTTGAATCTCTGTGACAGTCATCCACACTGTAAGGATGGCTCAGATGAAGCACACTGTGGTATGTCTTTTTTTGTTTGTTTGTTTAAGAAAAACAAACAAAAACAGCAAAACACTATTCATTATTATAGCTTATGCATTTGGATCTTATCAATGTAAAAGAAAAGATCAATTGTTTTCATTAGGTGATGTGTTTTTATTTTTATTTTGTTGTTATTGAGAAAATAAATAATAAAACATATACCAATTCAACAGTTTCTACATGTACAAACTAATGACATTGGTTAACTTTTTGAGTTACACATCCATTCTCACTCTCCTTTTCTGACTTCTTTCTCATTAACATAAACTTACCACCTCTAAATATCCTGAGAGTTGCTGTTTTCACTTTTATCTCATATGTTGTTCTTATTAAGCGCCATTGGGTTGTTGTCAACCCATAGCAACCCTGTATAGGGTTTCCTAGGAGTAGCTAGTGAGCTTGAACCGCCCATCTTGCTGTTCAAACTGACTTTGCAGTCCAGAGCATTAACCCACAGTGCCACACCAGGACTCCTTCATCTCCTATGTTGTTGTTGTTGTTGTTGTTAAGTGCCATCAAGTCAGATTCAACCTATAGTGACCCTGTATAGGGTTTCCAAGGAGTGGCTAGTGAACTTGAACCTCTGACCTTGTGGTACAAACTGACTTTGCAGTCCAGTGCTGTAACCCAGAGCACCACACCAAGGCACCAAAGATTTTTTTGTCAGGAGTGGGAGTCAAACCCCTGCCTCCAGGGGACACTATGACCTGAAGTATTACCTTAGACCACACTACCATCCTGACGAAGGGAGTGGTCTTATCTCATAAGGTGGTGGTGGTGATGTGTCATGGAGTTGGTTCCAACTCATAGCGACCCTGTACAGGGTTTCTGAGGCTGGGAGTGGGCTTATCTCATATGGTGGTGGTGGTGATGTGCCATGGAGTTGGTTCCAACTCATAGCGACCCTGTACAGGGTTTCTGAGGCTATAAATCTTTATGGGAGCAGAAAGCCTTATATTTCTCCCGTGGAACAGCTGGTAGTTTCGAACTGCTAACTTTGTGGTTCGCAGCCCAATTCGTAACCACTACGCTAACAGATAGGTCTTAGAAGAACATGATGCTCAGAGCAGATTTTCTTACTAGTTAAACTAGACTATTGTTTGATTTTAAGGAAACTTTAGGGGTATTTTGGCTTAAAGTTTAAAGATAATAATCTTAGGGCCATTGCTCCAAACATTCATCCAGCCATGTTTTAATGTTCTTATGATTGGGTATCTCCTAGTAATTTCAGGGTCTCTGTTCTTACTCCAAAGAAACCCTGGTGGTATGTTGGAATAGGTGTTGGGCTGGTAACCATAAAATATCAAGTCACCAGCCACTCCTCGAAAGAAAGAGAAAGATATCTGCTCCCTAGAAGAGTTATAGTCTCAAAAATCCGATGGGGTCATTCTGAGTCAGAATTGACTGGGTGGCAGTGGGTTTGGGTTTTGATAAGTCATCACTCTAAAAGAACCCTCATGGTATAATAGGTGAAGTGTTGGGCTGCTAGCCATAAGTTCTGTGGTTCAATATCACCAGTTGCTTCAGGGAGAAAGAAGAGGTTGACTGCTCACATAAAGAGGTGCAATTTCAGAAACCCTATGGGATGGTTCTACTCTGTCCTATTGGATCACAATGAATAGGAATTGAGTTGATGCCAGTTGGTTTGGGTTTGGGGTGTCCACTCCAGTTAGGAGATAAATTAACATGTAGGCCTCAGTTTTGTTTGTCTAATTTACTTGGAAAAGGTAACTCACATTCAAATAGAGAGAAGAAAGTATTAATGAGAGAAAAGAGTTTAAACCATGATCTCTAGGAATTCTTATTTACCACTATACTTTGGACATTGTCAATATAAAAAAGGCACCTGCACATTGTGTTTTCTTGCTTTAAACTCTTTTATTTGAATTAATTATGTGCATTAATGCACTGGACCACAAGGTCAGTTTGAACCACAAGGTTGATGGTTCAAACCCACCAGATGCTTCTCAGAAAACCCATACAATGTAGCTCTGAGTGGAACTGACTCAACAGCACTTACCACAGTATCAAATACTGGACTGCAAACCATATGGTTGGCAGTTCAAATCCAAAGCTGCTTCTTAGAAACCCTATACAGGATATTGTGTTAGAACCAACTCAATGGCATGCCTCTGCCATTTTGAATTGTCTACCCATTTCCTTTCCACACCTTTTATATAGCAACATGAGTTATGATTACTTTTACTATTTTTAATTTATAGAAAAAAGTTATAATACAATTCTTAATTTTTAAGAGAACATTAAAGCAAAGATTTAATTTTTACTTATGGATACTATGTACAAGGTGCTTTTATCTTGGTGAGTGCTTTAACAAAATCAAAAACAAAAAAAACCTGCTGAGAGGTTGACATGGCCATAATCTTTAAGGACGCAGACAGCCATATTTCTCCCCCCCAAAAAAGAGCTGATAATTCAAATCATCTATTTTTTGATTAGCAACCAAGTGCTTTAACCACTGAGCAACCAGATCTCTATCAAGTATTTTAAGTAATCCCATAATTCTTATTAGTTAAATAATTACATAAAGTAGCTATCCCATAATGCTTATTAGCTGAAATAAGAATTATTGGATTACTTAAAGTAGCTTAAAATTTTTACTCTGAAGTCCTGTGTGGTGCTGTAGGCTAAAGCACTGGACCACAGATCAGTTTGAATCGCAAGTTCACATTTACTATCCATTCCTTAGAATTACTATGCAGGGTCACTATTAATCGGAACCAACTCAACAACACTTAACAATAACATATTTTACCCATGAGGAAAATGAACCTTAGAAAAGTTAAGGGGTTACCAAAGATCACACACCTAATAATGGTTAAAGCTGTTGTTTGAGCCTACGTCTATCTGGTTATATATACAATAACATTTCTATATAGCTACAATATAATGTTTGATGGTAAAACTATCACTGGTGATATTATATCTGTTTGACAAAGTAGCTTAGGCCCAGTTCCTACATAGACACTAACATTCTTAACACTATCAGATAGTGTGAGATACTAGGGAAAGTGAAGGACACTAAATAGAAAAGGACAGAATTCTAAGAAATCAGTCACTATAGAAGAAAAAATTTTTTAAAGCATTGCCTAAAGTTATTCCTAAACTTGAGTTTTTCTGTTTTAGAGATTAACCTTGTATATTTTATATTCATTTGCTTCATTGGTGTGGAATCAACATGCCTTTTCTCATTGTCATATAAAATAGAAAAGTTAAGGCCAGAAAATTGTATTTTTCACTATTAGAATTTAAATATATTCTTAATAAAATACTATGGCAAATTTGTAAATTCTAAATGTTCAGAAAATTCTGCAATTAGTTTAGAGGGCAACATTTACTTTTATCCACTGAAACTGAAGTGACCTATGTGATCTAATCTCTTTAGTGCGTCTTTTCAATGGCACAGCAAACAATAAAGGTTTGGTACAGTTCAGAATTCAGAATGTGTGGTATAAAGCTTGTGCTGAGAACTGGACCACCCAAATTTCAAATGATGTTTGTCAACTTCTGGGGCTAGGGTAAGTAATTCTTCTGTTTTTAGAGATTATCTCCTGTTTTTTATTAATATCAACTTGGATTTATTAAGAAATTTAAAATTAATAAAAGTATAAATTTAGAAAATACACATGAAAGGAAGAAAAAATACTGAGTAACCTTATTTTTTAAAAAAAATGCCAGTGTTAAAAACATTTTTAACTATTATAAAACTCTAAATATATATAATTATATAAATGTTTGATTGTTGTTGTTGTTGTTAAGTGCCATCGAGTCGGGTCCGACCCATAGCGACCCTGTACGGGGTTTCCGATGGTGTAAATCTTTACGGGAGTAGAAAGCCTCATCTTTCTCCCGCGGAGCGGCTGGTAGTTTCAAACCGCTGACCTTAAGGTTCGCAGCCCGATTCGTAACCACTACGCTACCAAATGTTTGATTAGACATTATATTATGTCCTGCTTCTTGACCAACTTGTATATGAGGATCTAAGAAGCCCTGATGTAGTGGATTAAGCACTGGGCTACTAATGAAAAGTATAGCAATTTGAATCCACCAATTTTTCTCTAGGGAGAAAGAGTAAGGTTTCTCCTCCCATTAAGATTTACAGCCTCAGAAACCCTATCCAGTGTTGTTATGAGTCAGAATCAACTCATGGAAGTATTATTATTTTTTGGTTTTGGGGGATTGGTTTATAAATGAATTTTTATCATACCAGTATTATTTTTTCTGCAGATAACCTTTGATAAACCACAGCAAAGTTGCATGATATTCACAAGTTGTCCCAGATGACTAAACAGTCAGGAGGCCATTAGTAAGAAAAGGAGCCAATCACTCAATGTGACTCCTCCAAGAATATCACAAGTTTCTTATCTGAGGTGGAATATACAATGTTGTTGTTTTAGTTGTCATGAGTCAGTTCAGACTTGTAGCAATCCTGTGTACAACAGAATGAACCACAGCCTGGTCCTCTGCCATCCTCACATTTTTGTTATGCTTGAGACCATTGCTGATGCCACTGTACCGATCCATCTAGTTGGGAGTCTTTTATGTTGACCCACTGCTTTATCAAGCTAATATTCTTCTCCAGGAATTGGTGGCTCCTGATAATATGCCTGCAGTATAAGACATAAAGTCTAGACATCCTTGTTTCCAAGGAGCATTCTGGGTATATCTCTTCCAATACGAACTTGTTCTTCTGGCAGTCCATGGTACCTTTCACATTCTTCTCCAATACCATAACTGAAATGCATCAGTTCTTTTACAGTATTCTTTATTCATTGTCCAACTTTCACATGCATAAGGGGCTATTGGAAATACTATGGCTTGATTCAGTCACACTTTAACACTCAAGCTGGTGTCTTTACTCCTGAACATTTTAAAGAGGTCTTGTGCAGCCAGTTTTTCTAGTGCAATACTCACCTGATATCTTAACTGCTGCTTCCATGAGTGTTGACTGTGGATCCAAGCAAAATGAAGTCTTTGATAACTTCAAGCTTTTCTATATTTATCGTGCTGTTATTTATAGGTTCAGTTGTGAGAATTTTTGTTTTCTTTATACTGAGGTGCAATAGAAACTGAGGGATGTGGTCTTTTACCTTCATTAGTTAGTATTTTAAGTCCTCTTTGCTTTTAGCAAGCAAGTTTGTATCATCTGCACATCACAGATTGTTAATGAGTATTACTCCAATTATGATGGTATTCTCTTCTTCACATAATCCAGTTTCTCAGATTATTTGCTCTGCATACAAATGGAATACATACATGAAAGAATACAATCCTGATGCACATCTTTTCTGATTCTAAGCTATTCAGTGTCCCTTGTTCTATTCTAACGACTGCTTCTTGATCTAAGTACAGGTTCCTCATGAGAAAAATCAAGTTTTCTGGATTACCTATTTTTTGTAATGTTATCCATAGGTTATTATGATCCACACAGTCGAAAGGCTTTTCATAGTTAACAAAGCACAAGTAAACAACCTCCTGGTATTCTCTACTTTCAGCCAAGATCCATCTGAAATCAGCAATGACATCCCTAGTTACAAGTTCTCTTCCTGTTAATATAGTGTCGCAGCTGAGTTGAAATTATTATCAGAAAAAAAAATTACTTGCATGTGAAATTAATAATATTGTTCTATGATTTTCACATTTGTTGGGTCACCTTTCTTTTGTATGGGCACAAATATGAATCTCTTCCAATCAGTTGGCCAAGTGGCTGTCTTTCAAATTTCTTGAACTAGATGAGTGAGTGACTCCATTGCTGCATCAATGTGTTGAAAGATTTCAATTTGTATTCCATCCATTCCTGGAGCCTTTTTCTTTGCCAATGCCTTTCATTTATATTGGACTTCTTCTTTCAATACCATTGGATCTTGATCATATGCTATCTGTTGAACAGGTTGAACATAGAACATTTCTTTTTGATACAGTGATTCTACATATACCTCCCATCTTCTTTTGATGGTTTCTGCATCATTCAATATTTTGCCCATAGAATCCTTCAACATTTCAAGTTGAGGCTTGAACTTTTTTACTAGTTCTTTCAGCTTGAGAAATGCTGACTATATCCATCCCTTTTGGTTTTCTAACTCCAGGCCTTTGCATTTTCATTACAATACTTGACTTTTTCTTCTCAAGCTGCCTTTTGAAAATTTCTGCTCAACTCTTTGACTTCATAATTTTTTTTCATTCACTTTAACATCTCCACACTGGAGACTAAGTTTCAGAGTCTCTTCTGGCCTCCATTTTGGGCTTTTATTTCTTTCTGTATTTTTTAATGACCTTTTGCTTTATTCCTGTATGGTGTTCTTAATGTCATATCACACCTCATCTGGTCTTTGATCATTAGTGCCTAATGTATCAAATCTGTTCTACAGATGATTGCTAAATTCAGGTGGGATGTACTTAAGATCATATGATGAGACAACAGTCGGCCCCTGACTTTTTTTGACTGATGATATTGATCTTTTTAATTGTCTCTTCCCATAGCTGTAGTTCAATCTGGTTCCTGTGTATTCCATCTGGTGAGTTCCACATGTACAATTGCCTTTTATGTTGTTGGAAAAAAGATATTTGCAATGAATAACTCATTGGTTTTACAAAATTCTATCATGCAATCTCAGTATCATTTCTATCACCGAGGCCATATTTTCCAACTACTGAACCTTATCTTTGTTTTCAGTCTTCTTGTTCCAATCACCAGTAATGATCACAACATCTTGTTTGTTTGTGTGTTTTGTTTTGTTGATGAATTTCACACTGAAGAAATTGGCAGAATTCTTCAATTTCATCATCATTGACTTTAGTGGTTGATGAGTAAATTTGAATAATAGTGATATTAACTGCTTTCCTTTTGGGCACATGGGTATTATCCTATCACAGACAGCATTATATTTAGAGATAGATCTTAAGGTGTTCATTTTAATGATGAATGTGACACCATTACCCTTCAATTGGTCATTCCCAGCATAGTAAACCATGTGATTGTCAGATTCAAAATGACCAATACCATTCTGTGTTGGCTCACTAATTGCTAGGATATTCATCTTTTTACATTCTTTTTCATTTTTGACAACTTTCAACTTTCCTAAACTTAAAATTGTGCATTCCGCGTTCTGATTATTAATGAATATTTATAGTTGTTTAAACTCATGTTGAGATTAAATTCAAATAAGTTCCTGAAAAATTAGCTCCATTTATGTCATCATGATCAACACTACTATGAGGAGGCAGCTCTACCCCAGTCATATTTTAAGTGCCATCCAACCTGAGAGGTTCATCTTCTGGCATATCTAAAACTATTCATAATATTTTTATTTTCAGACACCATATCTGACAGTTTTCTGCTGCTATTTATAAGGTTTTCAGTAGCTAAACATTCAGAAGTAGTCTGCCTCTCCTTTTCCCTTGCCTGGTGGGAACATAGATTAACAGATGGAAAATAGTTTTTATTATTTACAACATCATACAGCAGACAATCAAACCCTCATTGGAAATGGAAAACTTCTACACATGTCCTATTATGCAACATAGAGGAGACAAGGAATCTGAAGGCACAGTTACAGTATGCACTAGTCCTTTCTGGCTTCTGGAAGGTATTCTAGTGAATATAGAGAACTTTTCCACACATACATCCACCTGGCATCCTGAATGAGGGTAGTATCAAAATGAGATTACCTTCTGCTGGCCCCCATGGTGGCCTGGTTGACACTTATGCTACACTTAATTCCACAAGGTACCTTGGTTGAGGGCTTTATACTCCCAAGATCACGTGACTAGTTCTGTATGACCTTCTGCTCAAATCTCAGTGCTATTTCCCAGCCTGCCTGACTACCATAGGAGAGAGGGGCTCAGAAAAATCTGGGATAGTTTCTCTTTAGCCCTGCTGAGGTTTAGATAAACCATCATGGGGTGGTTTGTTCCTGAAGCCTAAAGATGCTAGCAAGAGCAGGAACAGGAATATTTGGCCCTCAGTCTTGTCCAAAAGACTGCATACTTACATCTCAGAAGTTTTAAAAATGATATATTAAATCTGATGGCTTTTTCATTATAAATCTGACAAATCACAAGGTCAAGGAGCCATTGTAACATAATGGTTATGTGTTGGGCTGCTAACTGCAGGTAAGCAATGGTAATCTACCTGTCACTCTACATGAGAAATATGAAGCTTATACTCCCACAAAGATTTACAAACTCAGAAACCCTATGCAGAGTTGCTATGAGTCAGATCCAAGTTGGTGGCAAGTAATCACCACCATCAATCACAATGTCACTTCAGATATTATTTTTTTGACATATTGTTAATTCTTTAGGAAAAGTTGTGAAAAATGGGTAATTATGTGATAGGATAAGCAAAATTTAAAGACTTTACCAATAAGATATTGTTGGGAAATACAAGTGGCAATTCCAGGGTAATAAGTCACCAAAAATATGCTATTTTTTCCATTCTAATGTAACCAGTCCTGGTGTGGCGCTGTGGGTTAGTGCGCCAGACCACAAAGCTGTTTGAACTGCAAGGTTGGCAGTT